TGTCCCATAGATTGAAGCCAATAGTTGTGACTGAGCTACAGTACACTCTTAATGAATTTTAAAAATCTAGCTAAGAAAACATTTCCAAGTGAAAATTGCAAGCAGAACCAGAACCACATTCTTGAAGTGCTTGATGCTGTTATCCAAGATCCAATTAATATTCGGCTCTGCTTTCTCTTTAGAACAATGTTCATTCCTTTCAACAATCAGCTAGCATGCCATGATCAGTAAGCTTACCCATTTTTCAGAGAAACGTTTTCAGGAATTTTCCCTCATTTTTTAAATTTTCTTTTAAATTGTCATTTTGACATAATTCTTAGTTACACAATTCTTTTTCATTTTAATATTTGAAAGATTAAAAAAGAATCCTAATTTATGAAAAGAGGTCCATATTGTCAAGCTGTAATTTCTGATCATTTTTCACCTCTGAGCTTGTGGATCTGAAAGATCAGCAGTTGGGCAGTTGGAATCCCTAGCGCCGTGTAACAGATTAAGCTGCCATTACTTGCCCCAGCTTTTGCCAACCTAGCAGTTCAAAAGCATGTAAAAATGCAAGTAGAAAAATAGAAACCACCTTTGGTGTGAAGGTAACAGCGTTCCGTGCACCTTTGGTGTTTAGTGATGTCAGCCACATGATCACCTAGATGTCTTCGGACAGTGCTGGCTCTTTGACTTTGAAACAGAGATGAGCACCATCCCCTAGAGTCAGGAATAACTAGCACATATGTATGAGGGAACCTTTTTGTATGCCCCTGGATGGCACCTCGATAATCTTAACTCGTTTCCAGAGTGTTACCAAAAAAGGTGAAATGAATGTGGTGATGAAATTATACAGTTTTGAGTTTGACTTAGAGGAGCAGGCTGAAAGTGCAAGTTTGCCACCATAATTCTGCTTTCCTATGTTTATCATCCAATTTTAGGTATGTTGCAGAGAACTCCCTTAATTATTGGGAGACTAGAAAGTGTTCTATAATCTTTTTGCTTTTCCCTGTTCACCAGATCCATACGTCAAAGTATCTTTGCTCTGTGATGGAAGGAGACTGAAAAAGAAGAAAACCACTATAAAAAGAAATACACTTAATCCTACCTATAATGAGGCAATAATTTTTGATATCCCTCCTGAGAACATGGATCAAGTCAGTCTGCTTATATCAGTTATGGATTATGATCGGTAAGTGAGCGTTTTTGCAATCTCCAAATCCCATCTGAATCATTTCCCCCCTTCACATTTCATGGTATGATTCATTTAATTACATGTACTTTGTACTCAGAAAAATTGTATACTGTATATTCTTGTTTCTGTGTTATTGAGCAGGTGAACATAGTTCTGGGTTTCCATTCTTTTTGATAAGAACATGTTTAGTTTTCTCCATAGAGATAAATTATATTGATCACCAGAACAAAATTGTAATTCTGCCATAATTCTTAGTTATAGAGAAGGCCTTTCAAAATTCACATGCAGGTAAATCTCAGAAAAAGGATATATTCCACCTAGAATTTCTACTTATAAAAACAGTCCAACAGTTGATTACAAGTAGAATAAAGTCACTGTACCTGTTTCACCTAAGGTTTTGACTTCGGGGGTGGCATGTTGGAATTCTTTTTGTTACATTTTTTTAAATTTGTCAAGTTAATGCCTTCTATGGAATTTCTAATCCTAAGAAAAAATTGGACACCCATTTCCATTTGGATTCTGAATCTCAGTTTAATAAAATAGAATCTTCAACAGCATGTGTTAATAGCGAGGAAGAGGATTCAGAAACTGATTCTTTATGAGAGACTTGGAATCTTTGTTTTACAACTGAATATATAATTGTTGGAATATGACTACTACACTACTGCTTATTTGTCTAACATGATTCCACGGCTTTCTGATAAGTCAACAAGATTTGAATTGTAGAAATCTAGGCAACCACTACAATATTGAACATATTCTTGCTTTATTTGTTGTCCATATTTTTATAGCACAGATTTTATAGCTCTATACACAAACCTTGTCTAGCTTCTCCATATTATTTTTGAACTGAGGTCCATAGTTCATTCTTTTCATAACAAGAAAGACTGAGAACAAAGACTGGCTTATACTTCTATGGCTTTTAGAGAGGAAGAGGTCAAGGATCTGGTCTAGAATTAATGCTGAACAATCATGGATAAAGCTTCCCTTATTTGTTTAATATTCAGTTTTCTTGTTTAGTGTAGCATCTAAATCATATTACGGTAATCTGTGATAAGATATCATTTTTCTTGAGTTTCTCTGTCTCACTTAGCTGCTACTTGAAGAGAGAAACTTATGGACATGAAGAAAATCAACTGGTATGGATTCTTTTAGAAAGGATATGTTTGGGGATATTAATACACTGAATGCCTTTTGTGCAGAGATTTAAAATACACATTTTTGCTAGTTATACTTGGGAAATATATGAAGAAATGTTAAGATAGAAGATCAATAGTGGAAAAAGTTACACCTCCTACTCACCAAATATATTAAGCCAAGAAAGAGAAATAAAGCAATAATAAAAACGTGGAAGAACCAGAAAGACTAATCCTACTGAATAAAAGAAATTCCATAGGATAATTCAATCATGGACAATCAAGAAGTAGAAGGAATCAGGGTTAATGAGCCAAAAGAGAATAAAAGTATTAAAAACATATCCTACATGTGATTATTGCTTCCAGGGTTGGCCACAATGAAATTATTGGGGTTTGTCGTGTGGCAAACAATGCTGAGGGACTAGGCAGAGACCATTGGAATGAAATGTTGGCTTATCCACGTAAACCAATTGCACATTGGCATCCACTCGTAGAAGTGAAGAAATCCTTTAAGGAGGTACGTACAGATTTATAATTTTTTTCAATACATGTACAATAGATACTCTAGAAGCAGAGAAACAATCTGGAACCTGCAACTAAAGCCTTTATTAATGAAATAATTGTGGCTCAAGCCATAAGACAAGAATACCACAAATGTTATATGGTTTGGTGGGAAATTTATAGAAGCAAAAAGAACTCTTGGGCAGTTCCTGCTATGTTTGAGGTCTATTGCATTTAAGCAAAAATTTGACTGCAGATGGGGTTTTTTTCCTAAATAAACTATTGCAAACAGAAACAGTGGCATGATGAGTAATCCAGCTGCAATTAATATTTAAAGATTGCTTTGTCACAAATGGATATGACATGCTAAAACCCATAGGATAAACTAAAAAGAAGATGTGGAAGTTCATTGCAATGAGTCATTTGATAACAGAAAAAGCCACTAAAGTAGAAAATATATTTTGCAGATATATAAAAGATATACAGTGCAATATTTAATGCCAGAGCTTTAATGATTATTTTTCAATGCAGTAAAATCTTGATTTTACAGTCCCTGCAGTCAGAATGACTATTTAATCCAAATTTCATTCACATCAATTTCTGTCATCATGTCCATCAATTTATAATATTAATCCATTAAATGGGTGTGAAATCTAAACTGTAAAAACTAAAACGTTTAAAATGTCTGTTAAGGTTCTTTTCTTTTTATACCCAACAAAACATATTTTGAGGAAAAGAACTTCCAGACAGAATTAGCCATATGAGTCTTGACTGAATTAGGATTAGGATTTAGGTAATCCTAAATTTCGTTTGAGAAAGTTCAAGAACTTCAGGGAAGAAATTGCTTGCCAATTCATCAAGAGTTGGTTTAAACAACCTATTCAAAGCAGGAAGAACTTTATTTAAAACTGTCCTGGTCAGACAATCAACAACTTTATTAAATTATCAAGCCATTTTATTACCTTAAAAAAATTATACCTTAAAAAACTTTGAACATACAGTATCTGTTGTATGTTCATTTTCCAATAACATCCAGCTCAAAGCAGTTTCTGATAAGAAAGAATTTAGAAAAAAATATGTCTCAATATAACTTCATACTAAATATATAGCATATCAGCAATACAGAATTAAACATTTAATAAACAATAAATGCAGTTAAAACACATACTGTTTACTCCAATATAATAGACTGGATTATTGTAATGCGCTCTACATGGGTTTGCCCTTGAAGAGTGTTCGAAGACTTCAGTTAGTCCAGAATGCAGCCACGCGAGCGATTGTGGGTGCACCTAGGTACACCCACGTCACACCTATCCTCCGCGAGCTGCACTGGCTACCCATTAGTCTCCGAATCTGCTTCAAGGTGCTGGTCGCTACCTATAAAGCCCTACATGGCATCGGACCTGGGTACCTGAGAGACCGCCTCCTGCCGATTACCTCCCTCAGACCGATAAGATCTCACAGGTTAGGCCTCTTCCGGATTCCATCTGCCAGCCAATGTCGGCTGGCGACTCCCCGGGGGAGAGCCTTCTCTGTTGCAGCTCCAGCCCTCTGGAATGACCTCCCCATGGAGATCCAGACCCTTACTACCCTCCTGGCCTTCCGCAAAGCCACCAAGTCCTGGCTGCTCCAGCAGGCCGGGGGGCTTGTGAAATACCCAGCCCCACGGAAATTGTGAATGTTGCGCCTTTTTAAAAAAATGTCTTGTCTATTTATCTCCTTTCCCTTGTCTGTTGTGAGCCGCCCAGAGTCCTCCGGGAGTGGGCGGCATACAAGACAAATAAAATGAAATGAAATGAAATAGCTTAACATTAAATATAAAAAATAAACAGCCTTAAGTTACAATGCAAACTGATTTGCATGGTAATGTAGTAAGTGGAGATCATCCTTTGGTTGCTTACAAAAGAAGCTTAGTCCTTGGAAGTAATCTCAGTTTATATAAATCATCTTAAAATTCAGGAAACAAACTGGGAGGCCTTTCCCATCACTCCCCCACCCTCCAGTTGCCCATCTCTTCCTGTCATCTGTGAATCTGAGGCTGTTGAAGATCCAACAAGGATAAGAAACCGTTGTACTTCTAAAATAAGCACTTCAAATGCATGTATGTGTTGTATCCCACCATTATATCAGACACCCCCCACCCCCCCCAAATGTTGTTCTTTTCTTTTAAAAGTAGATCAAGCAAGGCAAAAAGAATTGATGTGGATATTTTCTGAAAGAGGGGTTGGAATCTCCACTGAAGCAGAAACTCATTTAAACAAGATCTAGCTTGCTCATTAAATCGAATACATAAATAGTTGAATTACCTTGCTGCCCCAGGGAACCAAAGATATTTTCCAGATGCAAATTAAAAAAACAACAACTTGGCTTCCATGGGCTTTTGCTTTCTTTTATTGAAGTCCAGCTCTGCAGACTAGAAGCAACATTTCTAAAATTGCAGCTGCTGTTCATTGCAATTTCCAGAACAATATACTATAGCCATTTGCTATTAAAAAAATTCCCTTCCTCCTTCTGTTCACCTTCTACTATATAGTTTCCTAAAAGTATATTTGTAATCCAACACATCCAAAGAATCCCAAACTGAAGATTAGGGCAGACTGGAGAATTAAATTTAGAGGTCAGAGAAGGAGTTGAATAAGTGTTTCTTTTTCAATTAAACTGTGTTGTCTGGGTATAAATAGTTTTAGGAAATAATAATCAAAATATTTACACATTATAGTATTTTTTTTAATCAGCGAAGAGATCCCAAGAAATGAAATGTGATTAAGGAGTTGAATAAGTGTTTCTGATTAGATTAGAAAGAACGGTTCCTTTGATTTCTTTTTTCTTCCTTACTTTATTAGTTTGTGTTAGCTTTTACCTTCATATTTTAAATTTTTAATTATATGTATCTGTATATGCATATGTACATTTATGTAGTATATATAAAAATTATCAATCAGAATAAAGCTGAAAGGGACCTTGGAGGTCTTCTAGTTCAACCCCATGCTCAAGCAAGAGAGCCTATACCATTTCAGACTGGTGGTTTGTCCAGTCTTTTCTTTAAAACCTCCAGTGATGAAGCACCTACACCTTCTGAAGGCAAGCTGTTCCACAGGCTAACTGTACTCACTCTTAGGAAATTTCTCCTTAATTCCAGGTTGCTTCTCTCCTTGATCAGTTTACATCCATTGTTTCTTGCCTTGGTACTTTGGAAAATAGCTCAGTTCTTTTCTTTGTGGCAGTCCCTCAAATACTGGAATACTGCTATCATGTCACCCCTAGCCCTTCTTTTCTCTAGACTGGCCATACCCAATTCCTGCAACCATTCTTCATTTGTTTTTGTCTCCAGGTCTTTAATCATCTTAATTACTCTTGTTTGCATTTTCCCCCAAGTCTCAATATCATTTTTGTAATGTAGTGACCAAAACTGAATGCAATATTCCAGGTGTGATCTTACTAAGGATTTATAAAATGGTAATAATACTTCACATGATTTTGATTCTATGCCTCTGTTTATACAGCCAAGAATTGTATTAGTTGCTGGCTTATGTTTAAGTGATCATCCACTAAGACTCCAAGGTCCGTCTCACAATCACTGTTTTGTAGTCAGGTTTCACCTAATCTGTACTTGTAACTTTGGTTTGTCCTGCTTCAGTGTAAAACCTTGCTTTTCTCCACATTAAATTTCATGTTGTTGGATAGGGTCCACTGTTCAAGTCTTTCAAGATCTTTTGGATCCCAAGCTTGTCTTCTGGGGTACTGGGTAGTCCTGTCATCTGTAAATTTGATGAGGCCCCCTTCTATTCCCTCATCTAATTCTTTTATGAAGATATTGAAGAATACTGGGCCTAAAACAGAACCTTGGGGTGCCCCACTGCTTACTTCCCTCCAAGTAGAAGTAGTACCATTAGGACTACTCATTGAGTATGGTTTGTCAGCCAGTCACAAATCCATCTGGTGGTGATGCTATCTATCTCACATTTTTCTAGTTTACCAAGAAATAAGTTGTGCTCTACTTTGTTGAGTGCCTTGCTGAAGTTTAAGTATACTATGTTGACAGCATTAAGCTGGTCTACTAATTTAGTCATTTTATCAAATAATGAAATAAGATTGGTTTGGATGATCTGTTTTTAACAAACCTGTACTGGCTACTAGTCTCTCATCCATGAGAAACTAAATGTCTTCAGGAAAGGACAAGAAAGTCCAGTTGCCTCTTGAAAAAGCACCTTTGGGACAACCATGACCTAGATGACTGAGAATCTCCAAAAGCAAGCTATTCTAACTTCTCTTGGAAGGAATCATATTTTATATTTTTATTCCGTAAACTAAAGGTCAAGCACATTGTATGCAGCTCAATTTCTCCTGCTCTAAAGCTTGTGAGGCTCCACTCTGGTTTGGCACCTGAAAAAGGATGCTTCCATCTTTTGGTCTCCAACTAAAATGCTTCCAGTGGCAACATTTTTTCTGGAAAGGGGGTTGGAAGTGGCTACTAGAAGGCTCAGTTCTTTGTCCTTCACCTTCCTCTTACCCCAACAATGATACTGTGAGCTTCAGTTTATATAAAAGCAAATTTCTGTCGTAGGGAAAAAATACATAATTGCACCTCTAATATTTTGTATTGAGTACTCATCCGATAAAATGATCGCCCCCACATTATTTAAAGAGGCTCACGAATAATTGTAACCTAAAATTGAGTGCTGAAATATAACTTGAAATATCCGTAAGTTGTAATATGATGATACCTGATAACTTCCTGAGCAGCAATATTAAATGCAATGTGCAATATTAAAACAATGTATTCTACATTATATTCATAATATATTTTATGCATACTTAAAGTGTGTTTATCATGTGCCAGGACTAATTGAGGCTCTATTACAAGATGAAAATTCTTTCTTTTACTGTGTTTTTTCAAATAATAATTCCCCCCAAGTGTAACCAAGTTTACTTCTCAAGTAAATATACATAGGATTGCTGCCATATTCAATAAGCTTTGATCTGCTAGCAAAAAGGATGCACATTCTAGTAGTATAAGACATCTGAAAATCATTAACCAGATAAAGTTTTGATCATACCTAAGGACTGGATTCAATATTTGCCTTCATTTTTATGTTTTCCTTTATTCTTTGATCCATTAGAATTTTCCCTGAATGCAAGGGGAAGGACTTTACAAAGTCCTTCTTTACTTCTATAGCACCTTCTATCACCACTTGTAATTTTTAAAGGATTACTCAATTCTTCACTACAGAATTTGGTACCCATCAAAATCAGAAAGAAATTAGAAAGAATGGAATATTTGATTTAAAGAATCCAAAACCGAATTCTAAACAATAAACTGGTCATATTTTATTTTGAAGAGAAAAAAATAGAAGAGACTCAAGTTCTAGACTATTAAAAAGGATAGTTGTAGGATAGAATTACAGATGTCACATAGCAAATTGTGTCTGGAAATTCTACATTAAAAAAATACAGGACTTTGTTCCCCTCATTGAGATGTAAGCTTTCACGGGTGCTAATTACTACCACAAGACACTACCTTTAGATTCAAGTACAGCATGTACTCCTTTGATCGCCTTCTGCTAAGAAAAATTCTGAGCAATATGCAGGATTGGGAAGCCTTCATGAATAAATAAATGAATAAAAATCCCAAACCGCCAAACCAAACATAACACAATATGCTGTTCCTTTGTGGATGTGAAAAAATATGAACCAGATATAACAACTGAGACCCAGTCTGCAAGCCTTTATGTTGTTGAAAACACCACTTCACATCTGCCAAAAATAAACCTATTTAACACCTGGCAATTTAATGACTATTTACAATGTAACTATTGATGGGATTTACCATAATTTTCAGTAATATGGAAGGAGGACTCTGGAATGTGAACTGAAAATCTTAGTGTTTTTTATTTAGGGCTAACAAATTTGAACTGCAAAAATTTGTATGATGACTAGATAACAGGAAAGAAAGTTATACGTTTCTCTTTTCTTTTATACAGTCATGTGGTCCCTTGTATTTTTGCAAAGCAGATCTGACACCCATACTTTTCTTCATGAAATTAGAAATCAATATTAATCTGGTACATGTTGGATTGTTGTTTTGCTTAGCATTCGTCCTGCATGGTTACAGGGTTGGCTTCTTATTGCACTGCTCTCTCCTAGTTCTCCCAGAAAAACTTACCAATGCATAACACAATGCATTGACTTCAATTGGCTTGTCACAGAACCTGATCAAGGTTGAGAGTGAAGGTCACCCAGCTGGTTTCTGTACCTAAGGAGAGTTAGGAAACCCGGCTCTGCTCACTTCTAATCTAGTACCTTAACCCTTACACCATGCTGGCTCTCTGGTACCGTATATATTGGATTAACAGGAGTACATCAAATTACCATAGTAAGAGTTTATTTCTATTATCTCTTTTTTCTTATATTACATATGAACTGTGGCAGAAAGAAAATACTCACAATGTGGCCAGATTGAAATTTCTCATGTATAGTATTTCATATGTTCTCTTATTATTATTATTACTAGTTAGTATTCAAAAAAGATTTTTATACTTGCTTTTGATTAAAGTTTCATGGGTATTTTTTTGATCTTGCAATTGCATAGGATATGATCCAAGAAAAATGGGGAGGGGAGTTAGCATGGGAAAAAGTAACAGCTGGGTTGCAGTGGCCTGACTGTAAATTTCATTAGAATTATGGTAGCAGTCTCTAGTAATCATCCTTCCCTAAGCTGGTACCTTCTGGGGCATTGTTGTTGTAATTCTTGAACTTTCCACTAACATGGCCAAAGGAATTTTAGAAGTTGCACTTCTAACATATTTGCAAGGTACCAGATGAGGAAGTCTATAATGAGTATGATTTAACCCAACCAAACTGAAACAACTCCTAAGTGCTAATCACTTATGCCCTATTGAAATCTGCAAATGACCCTTTATGTATTTCTACCAACAGCAATGTCCAGGGTTGAATGCCCCCAAGGCAGTGATGCCTGTAGCAGAACCGTCCAATCCCCTTTCTACTATGATGCTGCCTTCCTCCAAATATTCCAAGGTATCAGACAAGGGTCATTCTTTACACAGGAGATCTATTTAAAAGTATAATAACAATTTCTAAAAATAATTAAACAAACCCTGATGGCAAAGGGCTAGCAAAGATTTCTGTAGAAAAAGGTTGGCTATATCTGACATTGCCACAGATTAGCATCAATTTAACACTATAAAACATTTACAATTTAATAAGGCAATTTCAAACTTTGACACTGATTTATTTTTCTAAAAAATACATCAAGTACTTAATGAGAAGGTTGGTCTAGAAGACCTCCAAGATCCCTTCCAACTCTGTTATCCTGTTATTCTATTGTGTTATTCTGAGACCAAGTGATAACCCAGGTACTTGATTAAAAGTAATTTCTTTTATGTATTTAAAACAACGAAAACATTTTAAAAAACAAATCATCATACATGGAATCAATCTCAAACTGTTCTAAACAGTTTACAATTACTTCTTAGATTTAAAAAAAATGTTTACTCTATAAGTTGATAGTTTGTATAAGAGAAATTCATTTTATTAACAGCAGATCAATATGAAACTAATTTTGTACACTGCACAGATTCATCTATTCGTACAGACCATCTCTTCTGTTACCCCTTGCAATATTGAAATGAAAGACATTGAAGGAGAGAAAACTGTATCTCTTTCTAGGGACCTTGTGGTATAGTGACTAGAATGTTGAAGTAGGATTGGGGACAGAGGGCTTGAAATTCCCATTCATTCATGAAGATAATCATGAACATGATTTTATATTGCGGCTTCTCTCTCAGTCTGACTCTCCTCACAGGATACATGTGAAGGTGAAATGCTGAAGGAAAACCAAATTCACCTCTCTTTTTTTGGATGAAAGATAAGATGTACAATATGCAATCATGTTTATATGGCCACAAATCCACTCTAGTACATTCATATTCTACATTTTTCATATAGAATTGTACAAATATATCTCTTATATGCAGGGGTGCCCAATCTCTGGGCCATGGCCCACTACTGGCCGTGACCTATTCACAACTGAGCCATGTGAGTAACATGCAACTCAACTTGTGTGAGTGGCGGGCTGACGCACACATACACATGGGTGCAGACAGCCAAACTTTTAAAGTTAACTGTACATGTATGTATGCGTGCGCCAGCGCCACTGCTTGTGTGAGTTGAGCTGCATGCCAGCCCAATGTTCACACTGCCAGGTTCCCCTTTCCCTCCCTCAGCCAGACTGCCAAGCCACAAAGGTTAGGGACTGCTGTCTTAATAGTCCTTTACATAATTTGTGTGATGATGCAATGACATGTCACTTGTCATCCTTGCCTCTTGCTGATGTCCTGTACACTGTCTCCCCACAGATCTGTAAATAAAACTCCCCCAATGTAATGCATGGTAAATAGTCATTAGCTTTTTCGTTTTTCAAGCTGTCCTGTTCAGCTTGTGTCTAGTTAATAATTGCTATTATTATAATTATTATCATTGTTATATACTACTGAAAGTTGGGTTTATCTGTTTGTACCCTCATGTTAGCCCAAACAATACATTATGCACAACAACTTACTTTTTAATCAAAGTACCTAAAATCTGCTAAAGTAAAGGATGTGTAAAAATCTGGGACCCATTACTCCTGTGGAATTAAAATTACCACAATGTTCAGTTCAGTTTTATTTGCAAAGCTGTGTCTGTCATGTGATCTTGATTTTATATGCTCCTAACTAGCTTCCCACATGCGAAGTCAATGGGAAAGTTATGACTCCAATGAGTCATAATTAACCAATTATTATTATATTTATTTGCTGCTGGAGCCTCCAGATTCAGAAGAGTGTACAACTTACAGTTTAGAATAAATATCTAGAGTGGAATAGTTAACATTTAAAAAAATTAATATAGTAAAAGCAAAACACAAATAACATTAAACAAAATATAAATAATTAATATAATAATAACATAAAAATTAACACAAAATAAAAAATGTAAAACACCAAAGGAAAAATAAATCATATCCAAAATCTCTCCATAAATGCCGTTTAGAAGACTGCCAGTGATGAGAACAGTCTAGAGCAGGGACGTCAAACTTGTGTCGTTACAGTGTCATCACGTGACATATCGTGACTTTCCCCCCTTCACTAAAAAAGGGTGTGGCCAATGCATGATGCATCTGGCCCGCGGGCTGCGAATTTGACTCTCCTGGTCTAAAGGGAAGCCCTTCCAAGTGCCATGATTGAAAAGTAATTCTGTTGAGAAACTTGCATACCATTTACTTGAAACTGCTTTATATAACTGCAAAACAGATTGCCATTAATGTATAATGAACATCCCTGTAAGTATGCTTCTGCCATATGCCATACAATGCTATTTACTTCCACACTTGATCTGACTTTCAGTTTCAACAATGACTTTATGTCTAGGAAATGGAGCCTACTAAATTGTATTATCTAAGAATTAGATAATTGAAAATCAAATTTAGATTTGATATAGGTCAATTTTTTTAAAAAAAATATTGCCACATCAGTATAGTAAAATGAGAAATAACTCAAGGGCAAACATCTTCTGATAAGATAAGGAAACTTGTTGAAGTGCACTGAAATTTCATGATGTATTAAATGATCACAGTTTGCTCTTTAAAAAGTATAATGTTGGTAATCTGTCCCTTTTATAATCTGTACCAACCTGTACCACTTTTAGCACTCTGTATTATGAACCAGCTACACTATTCCAAAATAGTTCCACCACTAAGTTTTAACCAAGTCATGGATAACAATTGCCACATCAAATCAATTTAGGAATAATCATATCTGATGTAGCAGATATATTTGTACAAACGTATCTTGATTATTGCCGCTATTTGAGAATCTAAAATCAGTTGAGAGTCAGGAAGTATTCCATGATTTTGGTTCTGGTCTGTCAGGGAGAATGTAATTCCATTGAAAAGACATGGAATATCAACATAAAACTTTGGGCTTCTATTTACGAAGACCATTTCCATCTTGTCCAGTTTTAATTTCATCTTGTTTACTTTTAGCCTGTTATCAAACTTAGATCATATTTGAAATATTTACTTACTTGAAGTTAAATGGCAAGAATCGGTAAAGATAGTTGCTCTCACTATACTACCAGAAGTTCTACTCAAAGATTCAGATAGCTTCTCCCAGTGGTTTCATATGGATGTTGACCAGCACATGAGGAACATAATGGCTTAATCAGAAAAGATCTATTTGTTACTTCCAGATCAACCGAAGGTTTATTTAATAGTGTCCTTAAAAAGTGGATAAACATTTTTCCCTCAATCAAGCAATTATTTCCCTTAATTATCTGACTGATTTAATTATCCAGGAGGGCAAAGGTTGAGCAGGCATTTCTCCAGGCAATGCTAAAAACATTAGAAGAAGACCTGCTATGTATATACCTTGTATTTCAAGCCATATGAATAAAGGGGTTCTGAGAGTATGGTCCCAATAAATGCAGAAACGCCAGTTTAGAGAATTGACAGAAACTGTGTATGTATGTGTGTAATTTAATTTTCAAATTAATTTTTAATATTAAGTGAAGCCTTTTAATCTTTTTGTAATTATATTATCTCCTATTGTATTACACTGTAAAAACGTACATAAAATTAGTTTTAACACTAATATAACAATTATTGTCAATGTTTCCACAGATATTTCAATTACATTATAATGCTTTTGTGCAGGAGCAGACTTACTTATTATTCATTCATTATGGATTGAGAAGGAATGGATTGAGGCTCAGAGACTAAGATTTATGATCCAGGTTAAAGTAAAATATGAAACAAAGGTAGCAGCACTTAGGAATTTAGTCATCATTGGGAATGTAATTTCTGAATTATGGTCTCATAGGAATATCTAATCTACAGAATTATGGATAGATTATGGATACCTCAGGTTTTTTTAAGGTAATCAGGCCTACAGGGATAGACCTTTTTAACCCCTATGGTCATCATATTGTATTATTTTCTGATTTGTATTGCTTTGAGGGGTTGTTTTTTAATAATATTGTAGACAAATTAAGGCCTTCCCTGCTTCATTTAAAAAAAATTCTAAGTCCTTACCAATTTGTCAATTGTTTTTAGCACAAATCTCATCTTTACTCATGCTACATTTTTCTCATTCAACAGCACATTTTTCTGCTAAGTAATCTTAGTTTGCTGATCATTCATCCATCATTTTGCTTACCCTTGCATAGAATTCAGTTCTCCAGCTCCCCCCTCCTTTGTAATAACTTATTCCTAATATATTTGCAGAGTATTTTGTTGATAAGGTCTCTGTGGGACCTTATTCTGCCTTATTAATATGCATTGATTTCTCTACATTGGCTTTGTTTTGCCCTTTCTTCTAATATTCTGTTATCATTAAAGTCCCCCCTTTCTCTGCTTATGTCCTTTCTGTGCTGCTGTATCATTGCTCGCTCCTTCAGTTCGTCCTCTTTTTCTCCCACTTTTTTTAGAAGACTTTTAAAAGGTATCTTTGATTTTCTTATTTTTCAGTATGAGGACCTTCTGTTATAGGAAAACCTTCTGTAATTTGAAACTTTTTTGATATATTTCAATTCAACCCTTTGACTATGTTATCTGGGGATTATGAGTGAAGACATCAATGTTTGTAAAGACCACAAAATTGGGAAAGAATAGGGATAAGGTAGGATAGCATAGGATAGGATAGGACAAAAAGACAAAACAAGATAAGATGATACAAGATAGGGCAAGTCAAAGTGAAATGGGATGAGATGAGGGAAGGGGAGAGGAGAGGAATAGAGATAACATTTATTGTCATTTTTTCTGTATACATAATGGCATACTTTAAAATGAAATTCTGATTCTGCTCTCAAAAGAAAAAACACCATGCAGCAAACAATGTCAACATCCAAAGGATAATAATAATAATAACAGCAGCATCCAAAAGTGCCAAGTAATACAAAATGACACCAAAACTTACATACATAAATACATGCAGAAGAATATAGAAGATTAGAAAGAATATTTTAATGTATCCCTTTTTGCATTTAGAGAGGCCACCTTTTTCCATCAACTCTGTCTACACCTTTGTCTTTGTAACAGAAAACCTGTGGATAAGAATTTCTACTGGTTTTTTTCCAAATATAAACATGAAATTTGGGGGGAAAATACATAACAGTAATTACGATTTTGTAAATTGTGTTAGGCATGCTCACTAGCACATTGAAATTTTTACTTGGTTGCTTCAATCCAGTTTGTTATCTAGTATAAGCTTTAACTTTCTCAGAGCCTGTATCAATAATTTCCATCCTACGATTCAATGTGGACATCTGTGAATCTTTCCCTCTATCTTTACTAAAGCCTTCTCCAGAGACATCATCTTCTCAATTCCATTTATAGCTTTCAGAAGATGTATTTTTTTAATAATGAGAAGCTGAGCAAGAAACATAATCCCTCTTGGCCTACATCATGTCTTTCCCCCATTTTACACATTCTACTGTAATTTTTAAATTCAGCAAAGTGTAGACATTACTGATTTATTCTCATAGTGCAAAAAAAAAAAAGTAAAAGTAAAAGTAAAAAGAAAAATCCCAGAAATGCTAATCTCCATTTAGGAAAGCAATATATTTTAAATCCAGACTTAATCATCCCTAGCGTAGAACATTTAAACCAGTAGTTCTTTTTTTATTTTCCTCCACTTATTTATTGGTTTCACTATAAGCATGATTAACCTGAATCCAATCCAAACTTCCTTTCAAGTGTGTACACTCCTGCAGGCATATTAATGGAGATTGCCACTAGGTCCATGGAAAGAAATGCATGAATGTAATTGGATCCTCTCTTAAATTTAAACTAATGAGACTACCCACTTATGCAGGGGTTTAATTGGTGTCTAAACACAGATAGAGGAACTAAGTTAGTTTGTGAATTGCTTATGACGTTGTTTAAAAAAATCAGCTGCCTTTTTTCTTTCCACAGTGGCATGGCCGTGCAGCCAGCTTTGATAGTCAAAGTTCCTGCCCCTCTCCCAAACCACCTACAACACCATGATCCATCAAGTGGTGAATATTGGGTCTCAACCGAATTCTTTTTGTTTTGCTCTGATATTTTCTCCATGGGTCTTGAATTCTGATTCAACCTATTGCTGAGTAGCAGAAGAATGGGGATCAGACATTCCTTCTTTCCACCGTGAAAAAAGGCACCAAGCCCTTTTACAGTGATGTTTGTCCTAGTTATTTCTTTCTCTCAAGGTGATGTACTTTGTGTTTTTTCACTTTTTGGATATGGCTGCTAAGAAGAAAAGAAAAGAAAAGAAAAGAAGAAAGAAAAGGCATAGGCTGGAACTCTGGCCTATAAAATAACATGTAAAATAGTTATTTGTGTGTATGTAAAGCGACAAATAATAGAGAGCTGTTGTACTTCTGCACATCAGCATGCAGATTTAAAAGAGACAGCAGAATGAAAAATGAGAAGACCTTGATTAGGCTCCTTGTGACATGTGAACACCCTTTTGTTATTGTGATCAGTGAGACATTACAGCTTTTCTTATTCATGCTGTGATGTTCATGGAATCTGTGAAATACAGCCCAGCCTGTCCTTCTGTATATTTTAAAGAGTTGCTAATTCCTCAGGGAGAAATGATCCATTTTTTTTTGTAGTTGTGTTCTTGAAAGAGCCTTTTGCATGAATTCAGCTGCTTAAGGTCCTGTGAACTCCTGTGGCAGTTCTGCACTGATTACAGGTTTGTGAACTTTTTTTTTTAACTATTTCTCTTTTATATATTGATTTGCCATTTCTCCTCCCCCCTCTCCGCCTGCCCGCTAAAATTGTTATATTTAGATAGGTCTTTTTTCATTGTGATTTAGTTCAGGTTTTGTCAAGAAGCAAATACACTGAATTAAATTAGTTTGCCAGAATTATTTTAAAAATTAGCTTCTTTAAATTTGGAATCTCAAACAGGGCAAAACGTCTTTTACACTTTTACATTCCTCTGCCCTGCAAAAATGAAAGATTACACATTTACAACGTTTTCACAATAATTATTTCTAATAGAGTTTTGTTTCCTTTTTATTAAATCACAAGGTTGTCACAGGTCATTTATCTTCATCTGATTTTGAGGGTGCTAATAATGGCATGCTGGTGCTGTATGTAATTTTACTCTCATTTGCCCACCATTGCTCAAAATACTTTTCTGTGTTTGCCTCTCTTGCCTGTGCTTACAGCCGGTTTTTAATATTTAAATACAGCAATCAAGTTAGCTGCACTAGATTAACATGGGTCTTTCTGGGAATTTATCATTATCTTTTTTCTCCTACTCCTAGAATCATTTTTAAATGTTCTTTTTAATTTCTCCAGGGACATGCAAAAACCCTTGGTCCCTTCATAGCCAAACAGCATGCACATAGTAAACTTTTGCTGCAAATTTTGGCAAGTATTTCCCCCCCCCCCCAATGCAAATACCAAAAGTCAGTTGATATTAAATCTACTTCAGCTCAAGCCTTGCACTTTCATTATCTTCAACATCCTGGTACCTGCTATGTCTTATGTACCTGCTTCTATGCTGTTGCCGAACAACTGAAAGGTGGCAGTCATAGTGGCCAGGCTGCTGACATGTGGTTACTACAATACCAGCATTATCAATAACCATTTGTAACATTGCTCAGTGATGAAGACTTAATGTTGACACTGCTGAAAGATGAAGCTTGTAAAGTTTTGGCATGAATAGAGCTCTGCTAATCCACCTATGGAACCAATACTTTTAAAAGAAACATAATATACAAATATCGATGATCTCAGTTTAGAGCATTAACTTTCCAAAGCTTTCATTGCATGAAATCAATTTACTTGTCTTCTGGGGATTAATATTTAAGCACAATGAGCGTTAGGAAAACTTGAATACATCTGGTTTCACTGAACTAAACAAAACTATATTGTATTGTTACCCTTTTCCCATCCTATTAATTTCAGTGGGAACTGAGATGTCTCCAGCTTTCTCTAAATTTTTCTCCACCCAGCAAATATGATCCATGCCTGGAAGCTAAGGTCTAAATAAGGATTATCATTCTGAATCTCATTCTCCAAAGGTCAAATGTTGCTACTAGGATGAGGGTATATACATCTTGTGGCACATACATAATACCTCTTCTCTGTACTGTGCACTGAGAAACAAATTAACAAAGCTTACAGACTTAAAAACACTGGCCAGCTCTTCAGTAGGTAAAGCCAATATCCAGAGGCCATCAGTTTCTGGATCAGAGAAATCAATTACAATGTATAAATGGTTCCTTGTAGTGAGTTTTCATGAGAGTCTTAAAAATGACTTAGTTTACAAAAATACCTCTGCTAAGCTTCTTCCCTTTGGTTTTGTTAGGCTTTTTATCTCCTTGACAGGGATATTATTGTGTCTTTCAAGTGATATTTGAAATATTTTGCTTTTAGACTTGCAATATTACTTGTAATGACCGAAATGTTCTCAAATCACGTACATTAACGTTCCACCCATAAACGTTCAGTGCTGAGCCCAATTTTTTAACAAACACTTTTAAAATTTAATCATAATCCTTATCCCTGCATTAATGTTCTGACTCACTGATCTGAATACTTTCCAGACTTCTGTAAATAACTTTGTAGGGAAATTTTGTTCCGCTAAAGACCAATTTGTTCTAGCTCTTCACCACACCTTGTGTCTTAATTTCCTCTGTACGTGCCACATGCTACAGGAGCATCAGTCTAATAAAGTGACTTTTTTTTTTAACTCTTGTCTTGCGCATAATTTTTTTTTTCAATTTCTTTTTTGCAACTAGGAAAGGAAACAGCCAGTCAGTTAATAAAACAACGTTGTGTCAACTGCAGAAACAAAAAGGCATTGTAACAAGCTGAAAGATACAGTTTAGTTTCTGTTAGGAAATACATTTTTTTTTTTTGCGATCTTACCTAGCAGATGGTTCTGAAAATAAGATATTTTCAAGTACATAGTGTATTTTATCATTGTTTCCCTCAATTTGAGGCCTTTAAAATGGGGTGGTCGTATTCCTAGAAAACATCGTTTCATACACTCTCAGTGTAACAAAGAGAATGGGTTTCAAAGGTCATGAGAATCTAAAACTTAAACTTTTTTAATTTGGCAAGTTAGAAGATTTAAACAATGTTGAAAATGTAATTTTGATTATGAGCCATCAAATTGATGACAATTGTTAGCACCTATCACACAGGTAATATATCCTCAATCTGGCTTTTCAGATATTCCAATGATGGCTGCGTAATAACTGGAATTGAATTGAACCTTGCTTATCCATATCTTCTCTTTCCATTTCCAACATTATACACTTCTAGAGAGACTAGGATCTTCTTATAATGCGCTGAAGATATAGTAATTTAAGCCAAGGGACTTGTATCTCATGTGAAAACTTTGGTTTGATTTATTGTGATCCATTTGTTAGTTTTACTGGGTACCCATGATGATCTTGGGATTCTTTTCCAAGAACAAAGTTCAAAAGTGTTAATACACTTTTTCCTTCAATGCGTTTGATTTTCTTTTAATCAGTTTCTATTTGTCCATTGGCATCCTTCAACATATTAATTCAAGATCTGAATCTCCCTCTGAGTTCAGAATTCTTTTGGAAGACTTTCCTTGTTTTTCTATTTCTATTTCTACTTTTGATGTCTACATATATCACTGTAATACTGTTTCTTGTCTCTTCTAACAGCTTTCTGAAATTCTTTGTTACGTTCCTTCCCAAACTTTTTGTTTTATTGGCTTTGGATTCTTTTTTGTTCTTGGCAGTTTCTACCGTATTTTCTCTTTTAGTTTTCTTTCTACTTGTTTTTTTGTCTCAAATTCAACCTTAACAATTTCTTTGATTTTCATGCTAGTGTTCTTCTGCTTCCAAATCAGTGAGATATAGGACTGTAAAAGCAATTCCTGGTGTTGTCTTTGAAAATTGTGAATACAGTATTTGTTCAAAATGATATTGTGGAAATTGACTGGTAAGGATTTCTGGGGAAGAAACGGCAGACTGGTAGATTGACTCTTTCAACCTTTTCTAGAGGAAGTGAGGATGTGAGATTACCCACATTGCACCCCATATGTTTGCTCCTCCCCAAGGAAATTGCCCTGCAGTGGTCACCAGAGTGTGGGAGAAGTGAGCTGAGAGAATTTGCTGTTCTTTGTCTAGCTGCAGATGGAACCTTCAGAGGACACTAAATTTGCACTTCCTTTGTTAATCACCGTTGGAAATTGCCTATTGACTGTTTTAAGGAAGTTAAAGTGACAAGACTGGAAACACCAGATCACTGTCTTCAATCCTTATCATAAGAAAATGAAACTTTATCTTTATAAACTTTAAGAATTCAAAGTAAACAGCAGGAAAAGGTTTTAACTATGAAAAGTTTCAAACAGATTAGGGGCTCAGAAAACGTTGGGAGATTTGATGTTGAATATTGAAACTTTGAAATTAATTTTAAAGAATAAGTTCTTTTTTATTGGAAAAAAATATTTTGATATTAAAGACATAACAATAGGATTCAGATATTATTGAGGAATTACAGTGAGACTTTAAATCAACAACTTCAGCTTATGCATTTTTATGAAGAATCTGTTTCCAGAAGAGCTGCGACATCAGAAGATTTTATTACGGAAAATGTTCTGACATGGGAAAAAATGTGAACAGGAATTTTTCACTAACATACCAAAAAAATAGTGGATGAGGCTATAAAGAGTAAGATGAAAATAAAAATTACAATTCATTTTTATGTAAAAGGAAGGAACATAAAATTGGCTCATTTGATGAGGGTCGAAGTGGAATATGTTGTTATTTTCAGGGGATTTTGGGGCGGATTTGTTCTAGTCTGGAAAAATATTATTAGATTTACTTGCAGTTAACATGGTGTTAACACCTTTTTTCCCCCTACAGTCAATTTATCTATTCTAATCTGATAGCATCTAAATTGGCTTAGTATCTAACTGCCTTTGCATTTAAAGTAAGAAATCTTTGTGAGCTTGTTCTCTTTAAAGGAGATATTGCCCTTCTTTGTCATGTTAAATTTCAGCCTTTTGTTTATTCTGGGGTACTAGGAGCACTTGATGCCTTCTAAACATGGATTTGGTTACAGTGAAAGAGTGAAATTGTTTATACTTGTAATGAGGATGGGAAGTTGGTTTCCTCCTTTTTCTTTTCTCTTTCTATATTTTCTTCCTTTTTTGCTTTCTTGCATTTTTATTCTCTCTCTTTTTAGTTTGTGTTATCTTTTATTATTGTAATCAAAATGTTTAATAAAAGTATTATTTTAAAAAATAAGCTGACTGGTTTTGTTCTTTTGTTTTAACTTGATTGGACACTTGAAGTTAAGCATTTTTTATCTGTTCCATGAACAATCTCCACTTATATGTTTCCTTCTGTATCTGAGTGCTTTGTCCTAATAATATACTCAATTTTATTTCTGTGTACTCCACCTGATGATGCCTTAGTACATAGGCATCATTTTCTTTGTTTGTTTGAATGGTGTTACCAATGAAAAAATAATGGATTGACAGAGATTGATAAGCCATTCTCCTGCCTCATTTTGATTTCCAAGGCCCTATGGTGTTGTGGCTACAATTTTCTTCTTTGTATTTCTACCATTGGCATTCATTCTCTGTTTCTATACAAGTGTTTTGACCTGTCAAAATTGTAAGATTGTTCTTAATAGTTCCTTGACTGAGCTGATGTTTACTGTTGGATTGTATATTAGAAGGCATGGAGGAACCTGGGGATGGAGTTGGGAAAGGAAACATCCTAGAATCCCTATTTAGCCATATCCAGCCTAAGTCCAACCCAGCTTCAATTCTGTGGACCCTTATTTATCTCCAAGCAGGAATTAATGTTAATTTGGAAGATTCTTGTGCACATGGTATTTATTAATAAATCGGTTTAATTGGACCTTCACATGTGGACCTGGCCTTTTATGCCTAATATTAATCTGGATTAATCTAGATTGGTTCAGGGAGGGGATGGGCTTAGTTTACTTGTAATTATGTAAAGGTTCTAGGTTGATCTGTCTTTTAACTCCACCCCCAGGTTCTGCCACTCCTTCTTCATTGGAATGTGTGTTTGAGTTGATAGTTCCTTGATTGGGGTATTGCTTACTGCTTGATTGTTGGTCTGGTATTGGGTTTCTGGGGGTTCCCTAAATTTGACTGAATTTTTTATTACCAAGCTAGGTAACATCACGGGTGTATAGTGCAATATACTGGCATATAGTGCAATACACTGGCTGTTTATATAAACTTGCCTTACCAATCTTAGTTGGTGCATGCTTTCTTCTTTTATGGCACTTTGATTAGTGTATTGTTTTTCCTTTGGTTTTTTAAAAAATAATTTAGCAATTTATACTTAAATGCAGGAAGACCCATCATTTGTATTTATTTGTTTGTTTGTTAAGTTTATTTGCCACCTGTCTCGTGATGGGGCTACTTTAAGAGGCTTATAATAATAAAAATGAAGAAAAATAAAAGGAATGCAAACAGAATAGAAGTAAAATAATAGAACAATAAAATAAATGAGGACAAAGGAACCCAATGAGAATAACCCAAAGGTGCTTTTTCAGGAGGCACCTGGACTTTCATGTTTTTCTTTGAAGATGTTTCACTTTTCATCTAAGAAACTTCTTCAGTTCTGACTGGATGGTGCTACTATGCCAAAGTAACTAAGTAAAAACAAACAAACCAGGGTCCGTTAGCTCACTGACCTTACCCTTGTTGACCAATAGATTTAAAAGTGTAGAAACTCAGTGCATTCTATCTTGAGTTTGGCAGCAGCTCTAACCCACTCAAAAGCATCAAATTTAGCAAGGTATTTACATTTTATTTTTGTTAGCTAAAAATAATTAATGATACAGCTACCCAGTTTTCTTACTTTCTTTGCAAATTTTCACCTCAAATATTTTCCGTACAATTACTATTCTGTTTTAGCAATTTCCTTTATGAAATATGAAAGTCACATGTACTGTATAAAGCTTGAGTTTTCCAATTCTTTCACAGAAATGAACTTTGTCTCAGGAGACAACTAAAAGAACATATTTCAGTTCCTTATGGAGGTTGGTACCAAGCACTTTTTATTTTTTTTAGAAATTGCATGTGAAATGCAGACATTCATGTTCTCGCTTTTAGTTTTAGATTTTCATAGCTAGGTATGAAAAAATCCATGACCCTCTCTTTTGTTTCATAGGTTCTCAGAGTGACAGGAATTGGCTGATTTGATCTTGGCTCAGAAAGTAGGTGAACCTGGACTTTACTAGCATTTGGTTGGGAGACTACCACAGGATATCAGGGTTGTTCGTATCTGAATGAAACAACATTAAACTATTTGCAGATTGTTGTCAAGGGAACTATGTGGACACAATCATCAAGTCACAAGGAGTTGCAGCAAGTTTTACTTTCACAGTAATAATGGAAGTATATGCTAAAAGCCCACCCCGCCTCAAATCTTCAAGACATAAATTAAACAAGCAACAAAATGAACTTATGAGATGACCTTTTTAAAAAAAAATGGAGAGAAAAAGACTCCAAAGCTCTGTAAAACAATACTTTCAATGTCATATTGCTGTTATTGTTATTATTTGTAAAGAACTTGTGTCTTCAAAAAGTAAATTACTTTTCATTTAAAAATGAACAAAGTTTAGGACCTGATGGGATCTCTGCGATATATTACAAGATCTCTCAATAATTTTGATTAAATCGCTACCCCTGGTGATGAATGAAATTCAACAACAATCAGGGACTTCCCATCATGGAAA